GTGACTGTTCTTTTTAACACATTTCATCTTAAAGTGCCTTTTCATATTTGTTTTTATCAGCAGCACATGCTTAAACTTCTTGTTCATAAAAGGGTAGACAAAAAAAATCAGCAGGTTACCATTTTTTCACTATTAATTCGGCTGCCTTTAAGAGAGGGATATAGCATCAACTGGTTCTTTCTTGTAAAATCGATGTATTTATTGCATTGGCTTTGTGAAGTGGAATTTGACAAGTTTTGTGTAATTGAAATGCCTTAATGTAAATACTATGACATTTTAGTGTAAATATTATTTTGATTTATTTTGTTGCTCTATTCTTTTTTTCCCTCCTTTTTTGGAAAAAATTATCATATTGCTCTGGATTTTGGCTGTGTGACTATTTTTGTTATTTTTTGATTTTTTTTTATATTTCACTTAAACTTATTTTGTAGATTCTCAAATTATATTTCTAAATTGGTTGTCCTCTTGACAAAATGTTTTTTGCCTACTGATTGAAATGAAACCTAATAAAATCAACTTTATAATTTGTAATGTGTTTTACAAACTGAACTTCTCTCACATTTTTTTTTTCTGTTCAATTTCTACAGAATTAATGACAAAACTATAATAATGTGTGTGTGTCCAGAATAAAACATGTAGAACAATCATGAATCAACCTTCCTCAAAGCAGATAAACTGCATTTCTATTGTTTACATTGGCGTATGCCTAGTGGTTTCTGTTCACTCACTATAAAGTATTTGACCGATTTCTATTTGTTGATGTCTCTAAAGTCCAAGAAAAGAAATTCTACAAAGGAGAAAAGATAAAACTATCATCAAAGCAGAAAGGTAAGTTTCAAAGATCACTTGGACCTATGCCAAAAAGTTTGAATGTCTCTTATCTGATGGTTGACATCGTAAAGAAACAATTTCCACAACTCAAACAAACCCTAAAGCTCTGAAAAAGAAAATTAATGGGAATTCCTTTTTATGTCAACATACGTAAAGAATGAGAGTGATGTTAGTACAATGCCTCAATGTTTTTTTTATTGTCCAGAGCAACCCATTTAGAATTTTACATCTTGCCCATTAAAACATTAAGTAATGAAGTGATAGTTCACCCAAACAATGACAGTTTTGTAATCATTTACTCACCCTCATGTTGTTCCAAACCTGTAGGACCTCAAAAGATATCTGTTTTGAGAATAGGATGGAACAGAATGGAAATCAATGGTAAACAAAACAGTTTAGATACTGACAATCTTTAAAATATCTTATAATTTGATATACTGCTGATGTTCAGAGATTACAAATGATATTAGTGACCCATAAAAAATGCAAGTGTTAATTTAGCACCTTAAATGTAATTTGATAGCAGAATTTGGTCTTATAATTCAAAAAGATTTCTATTTTCAATATGGACTGTTACAGTTTAATAGCTGGTGTGCAGCTCATGTTCAGGACAGATCTCACAAACATCACAAACTCCAGCTTACAGCCTTTAAAAATCAATCTTATCGCTGGAATCGTAATGGTATCACTTCCGGAACAGATGATTTCTCTGCTCACAGTCTCATAGAACCCCACCAGAGTCCACTGTGACCAGGGGCGTAGCCATCATTTCAGAAGTGAGGGGGACAGAAATGTTATATATATATATATATACAGGTGCATCTCAATAAATTAGAATGTCGTGGAAAAGTTCATTTATTTCAGTAATTCAACTCAAATTGTGAAACTCGTGGCTTCGAGTATGAATGAAACACACACTGCGCGGAGTGTTTAGCGCTCCGCGATGTTCATCTCGCCTTAATCTGGGTCCGATTAAAACATCAGATCATGCACAGACTATACTGTCTCTTTGAATTTAAATCTATATTTATTCACACCGGCTCTTGAAAACCTCTATGCGAACACACTTGCCCGAAAAAGTGCGGGGGACGAATTTACGTGATATTAAAAGTGGGGGGGGACACGTCCCCCGCGTAATCTATGCCCCTGACTGTGACTACTGAAAACATCTTATCAATCATATTGAACCTCTTCACCATAATTCTGGAATTTGTATGATGCCCCTTCATACTTTTATCTGATTCTCAACCAGTATGTGAAATAAAAACGATCTGTTATGTTCAGAATCTCAGGCCCTGAAACAATCAGCACGTATAGACACTTGGTGAACGCACTGTTTGCTTTAAGAGGCATCACTGGTTTCTTGGGGTGCAACCGAATTACAAGCTGCCAAAACGTTGGGGACCCCTGTGAGCAAAGAAACAATACAGCTTTTGATATGAGATCAGGAAACACCACAAAGGAAAATAAATGCTTTAGTTGCTTTTAAAGAGAAGGGGAATTTCTCCCTCTCTTCTACATATGTTCTTGGTTTGATTCCTCGGACAAACCTCAGCCCCTGGACATAATGAACTTCAGATGTCAAAGCCAGGCAAACAATGGAAGCTCCATTGGACCCAATCAGGAGGTTCTTCAGGGTTCCTCCTGGGAATTGTTACTCCTACAAGTCCCCTTCTCTCCTCTACTCTCTCTTCATCTCCTACCTCCCCCTTTCCGTAGCCTACATGGAGGTTTTAAACCCCCAGGGTGAACATTATTTCTCTAATGCATATAGGGCCCCTAGTTTTTCTTCACTTTCAACCCTCAAAACATCATAAGCTGCACTTTCTCATAACTTGTCCCAGCCAGATCATTACAAATGAGTCTCCCTTTGCTGTAAACAAACCAAAGTACCAGAGACAAAGGAAATGGCTTGATTTCTCACAGAGTTGTACATGTTATGATATGGACAGTGTCAGAAAGGGGGACTGGTTATAATCAGGTTAGCATAATCTACTCCAACTCTAAGACTCGATAGGTTTGTAGTTATTTGAATTGGGACAAGCCAAAGGCTTTTTAGCTTAACCTTTAGCTTAGCGAAACCAAAGTAGCGATTATATGGGTCTTTATATAAGCCAGCAAATTTCAAGCAGTCAAGTTGTCAGTTTTTGGGCAGAAATGCCTGATTTACAGCACTCCACAAATCACCCAACTTTTACCGCTTCCCTCAAGCACTAATCATGCAGCTGGATGGTTGGGTTAAATGTTTAAAAAGCAAGACTACAGCCTCTTCAATTTTCAGAGGGAGTACATGTGCAATAGCATGAAAATCCTAAATTACATAATTTTTTTTTTTGGTAAAATTTTTGCTGCAGTGATTACATATTTGCGTAGGCCAACCTGTAAATTAGCATCATCCTGCTTTCCTCAAAAAAAGATTTGTTTTTCCATTGACTTTTGGATTTTTGTAGAAAATAAGGTTTGAGACCAACAAAAGTTCTTACATGTTTTATTTATCATGATAATCTTCACAAATGAACACAACTTTTATGAATTTTGAAGCTTGCATACAATCGCCAGAAGTTAAAAGCTAAGCGTAGGCTATAAACAAACTACACCACTGTCACCAACTCTCTACCAAAGAAAAGACCTAAAGCTGATGATACACAGGGCAACTTTTTGAGCAATGTTGCCGGGCAACTTTGGCCAATGTTGCTGTCAATGGGCAACCAGGTGAGACACAGGGTCCACAACCGATCTAAAGTATCCAGATAGAAAGTTGTTACCCATCCTCAATGGGAAAGTGCCCAGTCAGCATTGCTCAAAAAAAGTTGCCCCGTGTATCATCACCCTAACACAACTCCCTTTTTTTCCCCATGGGATTTTTACAGTTGAAATAGTTAACCCTGGGTTATTCGAAACTTCAGTTAAACGGAATCCTGGGAATCTTGCTTTACGTTTCACACTGCTCATAATTTACCTGGGGTTAACAATTAATCCTGTGTATTCATAAGATGATGTTTCACACTGTACATTCCTAAACATTGTGCTGACATTGCTATTTCACATATTTGTAGTATCAGTGTCATTGATTGGACAAATGCAGTACTTGACCTGTTTACATAACAGCTCTTGCACGTCCTAATATTATATTGAAGACTATTATGTTTCTCCTGAATGAACTGCGAAGGCTTTTGATTGGTTGTCTGTTGCTAAGCATCTAGCCGTAACACTCTAACACCAAATCCTGCTACTAAATCATGAGTGTGAAACGCATCTGGAGTTAAAAGCGGAGTTTAGAACGACGATAACCCGTGGTTAAATGCAGTGTGAAAAGCCCTCATGTGGTGGAATGTGGAATATTCCTTAACTTAAAGTACTAAAATTATGTCAGTCAAAATGTATTTTGACGCTTTTGTGGCAAATCAAATAAAAAAATCAAAGACTGACCCCAGATAGCACACGAAAGGTCGGCAAGATGTCTGTTAAAGATTGCTTCATCTGGAAAGCATCTGCTGTGTAAAAATCTGATAGGCATCTTTCAGATGTCAGTTTTACATAGGCCTACATTCTAAATCATAAACATCTTAAAGACATCTTCTAAACGTCTATTTGACATCTGATAGGAAACGTCCTATAGACATATTGGAGATGAGCAAACACTTGAAAAAATGCAGATGTAAATGCAGACATCAAATAGACATTTCCGTGATGTACTTTGCTATCAGGGGACTTATCTCTTAAGTAACAAATTAACCTTTCTGACTCTTATGGCCAATTGTTTTTGTAGGTAGCTTTAAAATGAGTCAATCAGACAAAATGTGACCCTGGACCACAAAACCAGTCATAAGGGTCAATTTTTCGAAATTGAGATTTATACATCATCTGAAAGTTGAATAAATAAGCTTTCCGTTGATGAATGGTTTGTTAGGATAGGACCATATTTGGCTGAGATACAACTATTTGAAATCTGGAATCTGAGGGTGCAAAGAAATCAAAATATTGAGAAAATCGCCTTTAAAGTTGTCCAAATTGTCCAAATGGCAATGCTTATTACTAATCAAAAATTAAGTTTTAATATATTTACAGTAGGAAATTTACAAAATTTACAAAATGAACATGATCTTTACTTAATATCCTAATGATTTTTGGCATAAAAGAAAAATCAATAATTTTGACACATACAATGTATCTATGGATCCAGAGCCAAACTTTTCCATGACTTTGCTTGTTTTCTCTTGTACTGCTCCAGCTCCTGAGAAAAAAAACACAAAAAAATACAATGCAATGTTTCTTCTCTAATACATTAAATACATTTGTGTACCTGATAGTTTAACTAAAGTGCAGTCAATCAGATTTCTACATTTTCTAAAAACTATAAACATGTTGTAAACTTGTTAAAAGTTGTTTAATGTGTAGAAAATCATTCAATTATAAGATTATATTATTTTTAAATATTACATAATAGCATAATTTAACATGTTATACTCTAGAATTTGTGTACAAAAACTGCAATCTGAGCGATTAAACTGCAATAGTGACCCCCTGCCACATATTGTCTGATTACTGCAATCACTAAGCACTGAATCAGAGTAGGTGAGAAGCTACTGAAGGGCAATGAGTGTGAGGTTCAGGGTAACTTTCAGTCACGTACTATACTCTAGAGGATCAGTTAATGGCAACAGTACTGAGTCAGTTTTACTGCTGGGTTATATACACACACATGACTAGAGGTTACTAGAAGACAAATATTTGCTGAAGGGTGATTTTACAGTGACAATAATTATTTTACCTGGTCTTTCTGAGCTCTGATAGAGTCTATAAGGGGCTCACTGTACTGGGGGTCTTTGGCAGGATCTTTCAGCTCCTTACGTTCCTTGATGTTCTGAAGACAAAAAGGTCAGGGGTCAGGCAGACATTATTGACCATTATCATTGTTTACACAGCAGGAAACTGTACCTCAGGTGGGAAAACCCTTTCAAAAACCTTTTTCCAAAGGTCTAATGGGTTTTTGGCATGAAGAGTCCCGATATCAACATCAGAGGTTACAGGCGGGCCTAGAAGATGAATGAATTAAAAATATTTTGAACACCTACATATGTGACCCTGGACCAAATTAAGTGTCAATTTTTCGAAATTGAGATTTATACATCATCTGAAAGCTGGATAAATGAGTTTTCCATTGATGTATGGTTTGTTAGGATAGGACAATATTTGGCCGAGATACAACTATTTGAATATCTGGAATCTGAGGGTGCAAAAAAATAAAAATATTGAGAAAATGTCCTTTAAAGTTGTCCAAATGAAGTTTTTAGCAATGCATATTACTAATCAAAAAGTACGTTTTAATATATTTACAGTAGGAAATTTACAAAATATCTTCATGGAACATGATCTTTACTTAATATCCTAATGATTTTTGGCATAAAAGAAAAATCTATAATTTTGACCCATACAATGTATTTTTGGCTATTGCTACAAATATACCCCAGGGACTTAAGACTGGTTTTGTGGTCCAGGGTCACAAATATGTTTGAAATAAACACAAAATTCAGTTTCGTGCCTGATACGATTTATTTCTGTTTAAATTTTCTTTAGTCACTCACCCTTGACAGGACTGGTGCATAAAAAAGTGAATTTTGGATCCACAACACCAGTAGAGGTCATGTAACTGTCTGGTTGAATTACTTCAAAAACATCAGATTTCCTGTTCCTCTTTATTGAACTTAAATATGAAGTTTTATTGTTTAACTTATTTACTGAGTGTGAAAAGGGACTACTGGCTCACTGCGCAGATTCAAAACAATTAATGTCACATCTGGGCTTCTGGCCGCGGGCCGATACAACATGCTGCTTTTGCTGCAATTTTTCCAATGAAGCTTTACAGACCACCCACACAGAAAGGAGGACCTGTTCCCAACACACTGTGGAAACATAATAAGCACTGAATGAACACATGGGAGCTTGAGCTTATGGTTCTAATCATGTTCTTAATACCTTAATGGACAGTGGTTTCAAATGGGTACTTTCCACTCTTAAACATCAACAGTGCTGCTCCTGAGGGGGTGTGTGTGTTGCTCATGGCTGCTCTTGACATTTGTTTGCCATGGCTGAAGACAAACTTAAGCTTCCAGAAGACAGCTTGGACGCTGATACGCGTCTATGTGTTAAACAGAGGGTGATTCAGTGGCCTGCAGGGTCTGCGTCCGTGATTCAGTCTCTCGGTACTCTCACACCTCAGCGTGAGGAAAACAAAATGGCAGACGGTGAACCATGAAGTACTGCGACTTTCTCCATGACACTGAGAGGAAATCTCATGAGCTGATGTACTACAACAGCTGTGGCTAAAGCAGCTAGCATGAGAACGCTTCATAGCCTCAGTTGTTTGATTGAAACACATTCACATGTAGTGACTGCTTTATTAATTCTGACCCTTTGTTTATTAAGTATACTTAAATTAGTGGTCTGTGGAGGACTGGACAGGAAGGTATTCAAGAGTCATAGGGACGGTCCAAAACAGATTATTTATAGATGGTTTGATTGACAAATGAAGTGCCTTGTTTGAGGCTGACTCAGAGAAAAAACTAGAGTGAAATGACACTCAAAATGAACATTCAGAACCACTAATGAATCATTCTCATGAAATGTAACACCTGTAAAGCAACGCATACTATGAGAAAAACCTGAGGCTAGTTGTCATGGGATATATTTCAGCTTTAGGGTTTGGAGGCTTATGTCTCGTAAGAGCAGTTTCATAAGGGAGGCAAGGTAAAAAGTAACTACTTTCATTATGCACCACTAAAAAGTCAAATAGCATTATATAGATATCATATATTATCACATTTAAATAAGGTGAAACAGACAGATAAACATATAGTTAAGATAGTTTTAATCCGAAAAGAAAAATCAAAACCATAAAAGTAGTTTATTCTTCTGAAGGCATAATAGCTGTAGCTTTTACTAAAAGTTTGAATTTGTTTAATTTTTTTTCATTTTCATTTAAATTTTAGTTAACATTTAAGTAATTTTGTTTTACTTTATTTTTGTCATTTTGTTTTTCTCATTATTATTATTATTATTATTATTTAATGTCTATAGTTTTTATTTAGTTTTAGTTTTAGTACATTAAGTTAAACTTTATGTAAATGAGAAATGTTTCTTCGGCAACTATAGAAAACTATCTAAATTTCAGCTCGATGCTCATACACTCTTAAAAATAAAGGTGCCTCACGATGCCATAGAAGAACCTTTTTGTCTAAATGGTTCCATAAAGAACCTTTAACATCTGAAGAACCTTTCTGTTTCACAAAAGGTTCTTTGTGGCAAAAGAAGGTTCTTCAGATTATAAAAAAGTAAGAAAGAGATGGTTCTTTAAAGAACCTTTGACTGAATGGTTCTTTGTGGAACCAAAAATGGTTCTTCTATGGCATCGCTGTGAGTGTAAGACTGTCAGAAAAGATTTCTATTTTAAATAAATGCTGTTCTTTTGAACTTTTTATTCAAAA